TTAATTTGTAGATAGTATTTTAATATGCAGAAGAACAGCAAACTTAAAAAAATTGATATAAAAGATAATTATTGATTTAATTAGATTTAATATATTCAATTTGATTAAGTGTAAATTATTTTATTTGCACGTTTTAAATTTAGTTTTATTTCTTAATAAAGAAGAGTTTGTGCGAGAAGATTTTAAGATACAGAACACTCTATATGTGACAGAAAACGGATCTTCGCGCAGATCTTTAAAACGACAATGAAGTTATCCATAGATCGCAACCAAGAATCACTTTTCATCAATCTTTCGAGAAGTAAATATAACCCATTTTGGTGTAAAGAAGCAAATATTCAATTTCTTCATCCGGTTTCCAAAATTGATCGGTAGTATCGCGGTTGCAATACGATGTAATGGATGAATTTGAAAACACACGACAGGGACACAAAAATGGCACCTGTTTGTGCTTCTCGGTGATGGGTCGTAGAAAGTTCCGAATTTCGGTAATTATACACAATCGACGAATTTTTTAATCGGTCGCTTAATCGATGAGTCCGTTAATAAGCAATTGTCTTCCCTATATGGCGTGTGTGCGACGCTATATAATTGCTCTCGTGCTAAATTCTTAGGTAATTATAACTAACACGATAGAAGCAATATATAAATATAATAATATAAACATATATATGTAATATACGTAAATATACTGTATATATAGTATAGCATAAATACATACTGTATATCTGTATGTGCGCGCGTCTATCACACGTAACTCGTGATTCCATCGACTAATTAGCAGAACTTGTCTCTCGAGGTGTGCGCAATTAGCGCCTCCCCGGAAGCGGGCGATGCGCCCATCAGTATTATGTCGACGAGGAGAAAATACTCGGCGATTTCCGACACGAAGGATTCCAAGAACGCTTTCCTTTCGCGAGATAAGAATCCGATTATTCGATATGCTTCAACGGTACCGTCGGATTCGATTGATGTCGTGAGGGATTGTGCGCGCGATGAATTCGCAATACTCCAGAATGATTCTTTGCGAAAGCCAAGCAATATCGAAAGCGAAGTAGATTATTGCGGATTTTCCTATTACAGGTTTGTTGATTTGATCTTTTCGTCAACTGCAAACGTAGAAATATAACACAAACGTGAAAATAATAATAGAACGTATATTTATTGATTTTAATTAATTAAAAAATTTTAATTGAAAATATGACTTTGTTTTTTACAAATACTTAACGGTTTGGATTGGTTTATTTAACACATTATTATTTTTTCTTATCTTATTTCATTAAGCAGTTTGTAACTAAAGAGAGAATTGATAAAAGAAGATTGACTCGTTACAGAAGTAATAGAACAGATGGCTGTCAAGATGCCGTTCTGGTCAAGGATGTAGGAATATCCTGCAACCTTTTAAACAAAAATACAGACGAACCTGACATATCGATTTCAGGAGTTGAGAACTATCTTGTTAAACAGCTCAAACTCGAATACAACGAATTGTCGAATATTACAAGAAAATTAAATGCGTATACCAAGGATATTTTAAGCAACTTAGCATCGAGATGCAAAAGAAAGGATCAAGTCCTTGAAAAATTGGTATAGAACTTAACTTATTTACTTTGAGTCATTTCTTTAAACAATTTTATTTAAAATATATGTAGGTATTGATTAAATATTAGAATGCATACTCTCTATTTAAAGACATATATTGAATACTTATATATACGTATTTTAATCTTAAAAATTTGTTAGCGGCATATTTATCAATTAAAATTGAAACCGGTTGTTGCAACTTTCTCTAAGGAACTTTTATTACAGCATGTCTCGAAGCACGTAATGGCATCACAATGTACAGAAGAAGTAGGAAATCCTTGCTTAAAATTAAGATTTCGCGATAATGCGGAGAGACAATGTGGATCATCTAATATTGATTTAAAGAAAAGTTTCGTTAAAGAGGAAAATGTTAGAGAAAAAATGCACAGTAATATTTATTATATAGCTACAGTAGAGCACTTTTGTATAGCTTTAATTTATTTTAGCTTTAATTTAATTTATTTTAAATAAAAATAAGAATTATTCTTAATAATTAAGTAAATAATATTATTATTGATAGATACTAATAAATTAATGTTCATTTTAACACATAAAAGTCTTAATTGATAAATGTAAATCTCATATTTCTTCGCAGGGAATAGTAACACGAAAAAGCGATGCGCAGAGTTTGATAAAGCTTTCGCGAAAGGATTTCTCGAACTCTCGTCGAAATGCAGTGGCGTGTTGCTTCGTAATTATCTGATAACGAAAAGAGAGAAAGTATTTAGAAATGCGAAAGCATGTTTACGTAAAACCGAAAATTTCTCGCCGTCTAATAAATTGTACGAAAATCGCACAGCCGATAAATCTCGCGAATGCTTTTATACGAGCAAATGCAATCCTCTGGTGTTCACCAATTGGCAGGAAATATCCAGACGGAAAAATTGCAGATCCAAAAGTTGCGTTCACCGCTAATATTTCCGGCGATCCGCGCGAGCATAGTCAATCGGATTTGGACACGCAATCGGAGAAAGCCGGATTTGATGGGAGAATCTGATAAATTATAATTATATTCTTTGTTGAATTATTATTTTTTTACGATATTTTTGTTGTTTTTATATATTTTTATTATTAATCACTGATTTGTATCAGTTAGAATATTGTGTTTTTAGCAAAATATAAAATAATAAATATAAATAATATATTTTTATGAGAATGCGTTTTTAATATTTTATTATATAAAAACTAGATTTAAAACTTATTGAATAGGTCTTTCTCAAATCGTAAAAATGCACATTTCTTTCTCTTTTTGTTTTTCTCGTTTTTGACAAAACTGGCGGAGCAATCAAAACTGACTGTCTTATGGCCGGACTTTAATTTGAGGGTCTGTATCCACAACTATACTGGAATGAACACTTGTAAACGAGGTGAAAATGCGAGGCAAAAAGTGAACAAAATTAGATTTTGACCAATGAAATCGTAGATACTCTAGTGAATTCTCTCACTTTTCACCTCGTTTCAAAATATGTAATAGGCTCCGTGAACTATACCCTCTAGACCCAATTCTCAATTCTCAATTCTCAATTTTTAATTCTCAATTCCCAATTCTCAATTCTCAATTCTCATATCTCAATTCTCAATTCTTAATTCTCAATTCCCAATTCTCAATTCTCAATTCTTAATTCTCTATTCTCAATTCCCAATTCTCAATTCTCAATTCTCAATTCCCAATTCTCAATTGGGTCTAGAGAATTTATCGACATCAAGAATTTTTAATTCCTGATTTATCAGGATCAAGAATTTTTAATTTCTGATTTATCAGCATCAAGAATTTTCAATTTTTGATTTATCAACATCAAGAATTTTCAATATGGGATCTAAAAGATTTTTTAGATGGAAAGAAAAGAAGAGAAGGGTAGAATAAGACTTCATTGCTTCTGTAAAATACTTCAATTTTATTTTTCTAATTTTATTTATATCAAGAGTAACATTATAATTAAAGTTAAGCATAATTATTGTAAACGAGATAAATTAACTATTGCAAGTTGTGGTTTCAATTTTTACAAATTATTGCTACAATTAACAATCTTTAACATAGACAAAGTATCAGGAGAACAAAAATTGCTGTGGAAAGATTATGCGCTATTTAAAATATAAGAATCGCAGAATTCGGGATTTTAAATCATAAAAATTAAAAGTCTTGTAAATGGATAAAATATCAAGAGAAATAATCGACGAAGAGGATCCACTATCTAAAATTTCAAGAATTGCGATTCCGAGAAAGCATCTAAAATATTTCTACATCATAATTTTTTAAGGATTTAAGAGAATATAATTTCGGAGTTATATATTTATTTGTTGTAAGAATTTTGAATTGACGCGCTGACGAGAACAGCCATATTGCTTTTTTTGCAAAACGGGTCGCGCGCTGATGCCGCTGATTGGCTCAAAAACTGAACGAGTGCACAGCGTCGGGAATGCTTCACTTGTCTACTAAAGCGGGGAGCACACACTTCTGCATAACGCATAATACGTAAGCATAAGAAAACTGATTGGTCTATTTCCTTATGCACATGTGTATGGACCAATCAATTTTCTTATGCTTACAGATTAAGGCCTTCACACATAAAATATGTCGTAAGGACGTAAAACGTAAGCGTAAGAAAATCGATCAATCCCAATCGAGTATTTTCCCCTACTGGGGTTACGGACAGCACAATACTCGATTGGGATTGGTCGATTTTCTTACGCTTACGTTTTACGTTCTTACGAGATTTTATGTGTGAAGGCCTTTATGCGTTGTGCAGAAGTGTGTGCTCCCCGCTTAAAGGTCAGTCCAGACAAACTTGCATAGCGCATAAACATAAGCATAAGAGAATTGATTGGTCCATATGCATGTGCATAAGGAAGTAGACCAATCCGTTTTTTTATGCATATGGTTATGCACCTATGCAAGTTTGTCTGGATAGACTTTACCATGGACAGCACTACCACAGTATATGGCGGGGAGCACACACTTCTGCACAACGCATAATGCGTAAGCATAAGAAAATTGATTGGTCTATTTCCTTATGCACATGTGTATGGACCAATCAATTTTCTTATGCTTACGCATTCTGCGTTATGCAGAAGTGTGTGCTCCCCGCTTATGGCTGCGTTCAGCCGAACCTCTGGATCCTTTGGATCCAACCAATCACATTCAGTTACTACCTTTTGCTTCGCTAAGCAGAGATTTGGCTGAACGCAGCCTATACTGTGGCACTACGCTATCGCGGCTATCGTTGCTAGTCTAGTCGCTATCGTTTTATGACTATCAATGGCCGCGTTCAGCAGATACAACTGTTGAGTTCGTCTTATCAACACTACGCGTTGATTGGTTGGTTCTAAAAGTAAGAGCCAATCACGTTCGACTGGTACTGAGCGGCTTGGTCTGCTGAACACGACCAATTCTGTCTTCTGTCTAACACCAGTAACACCAGAGAGAGGTTTCTCTCTGCTAATACCAATGAAAACAAATATATACTTTTAAAATATTACATCTAAAAGATAATATGTACAGATTTATATATATTATACAATAAAATAAACTTTAAAGACAATTTTGTTATATAAATGTGTTAATTGAACAAGACAAGGCCTAAGATAGGTTATGTTGTAACCTATATTGCGTGATAACATTTTTTAGTATCAAATCACTATTAAATTTATTTGTTTTTTTTTATCATTACGATCGGGAATCGCGACATAAATATGATTTTGAATCGTGGGCAGGGCAGAGTTTGGAAAAATCTTAAAATAAACGAAAAAGATCACATGATCTGTTTTCAAAGGAAAACAAAGGAAACCGAGTCGTGGAAAATAATTTTGACAGATTTAATAGAAATTTGGACGGAGACCTTGACAGACGAAACTATATTTCGCAAATGTCAGGTATTCAATTTGTCTCAAGTACCTCATATACATATATATTATATACACATGCATATACACATATTACATGTATAATATTACAATTTTTTTATACTTCAACAAGTGTGAATTATATAAAAGAAAAGTATAGATTGAAATTTTATTTTATTTCTCAGTAGGAAAATCATTTTATATCATACACTCTTGTATATAATGAAATATTAATTTGTAGACCATAAATCCTCTTTTAACTCTCGAGGCTTTTGACTGGAAGCAACTGGTACTAGATATGTTAAATGATATCCCTCAACACGTGCACACAAGCGTTCTAGAAGTTACTGCTTATCGAATAGAACTACGGAGAGACAAGGATTTCGTAAAATTGAGATTTTCGTTGGATCTTCTCAAAGGAACGCCGCAGCAGTTTTGGGAGTACGTGACTATGCCTCACTGCTTGTCGTCAATAGAACTGTTTCGCCGGCACAAGATTCTGCTGGATCTGGTGAAACAGAAGGATGAAGAAATCGCAGAATACAAAGCGGAAGGCGCGGAGTTGATTAGGAGTGCGTTTCTTGCATAATAGGCGGATACGTTATTAATCTTTAGAATTGACAGTTAAAAATCATTATTTGTATCTTGTAGAATATATCGCTACGAAGCCATTCAGCGAAGAATTGTTTCACATTGATGCTGCTGGGTCGGCTGCAACTGATATTGTAGAAACTTTTCAATCTGTGCTTCATTTTTATAATGAGATGAACTTGCTAAAGTCACACGCGATATTAGAGTCTAAAATATCTTCGAATGACGCAAGGTACAATGCGGCGTACCAGATTATATCAATTATTTATGGCATTTATATTTAATCATTTATTGCATTTTTTAGTGGCACTAATGGTTCAAAAATTGACGGGAATGTTCTTCCTGACTTGTCAAGGGATGAATCTGTAAAGGAGCTAAGACTAGATAAACTGAATAATGATGGGCAAATGCATGTAAAAGTTGAAGAATGTGAAGCGGGTTCTTCTTCCAGCAAAGCTCCAGTTTTCAAAATAAGTAGCACATCTCACACGATACACAAGTTAAAAAAGAATAAGAAAACTTTGAATATAATGTAGTAAAATAATTAAGTTACTAATTAGTAACCTAACATTTTACTGCAATATAAAATTAAGTATCGGGTTTTATATTCATCTGTGTGTGTGTGCGATTTATCGATTTATGCTATTGTGATATGTGCTACATATGTGATTAATGCTAGTGCATGAAAAATGTTAAAGAATTATAGATATATAAATAATAGAATTTATATAAATATAATATATAAAATATTGATAATATATAAATAAGTTTAAATCTTGAAGTCTAAGGAATATGAGACGTAAAGGCGAATATCAATTATCGATATAAAACTTAACGAAAAATAATAGCGAATTGTATGCACTTCCAGTAATCCACCAGCATGAACACAAGGTTCGACTATTCTAATAGTACTATTATGGTGCTATTCTATTCTATAAGAAATGTGAGATACATTTTTAAACCAAATATATTTTTAATTACATATCTACAGCTGTACTGTAATTCTAAAATCAAATAAATAAAAGAATAAAAAAATAAAAAAAAAAACGGGCTCGTCCGGGATTTGAACCCGGGACCTCTCGCACCCTAAGCGAGAATCATACCCCTAGACCAACGAGCCGTATTGCATGTGAGATCACAAATACAGGATATCGATCTTGAGTATTATGGTAATAATGTATATAGACGCACGCACATATATATACGCGTTATCTGTGTCATTAACTGCGCGATAATTCTCTCTCTGTGCGTGGCACATATTCAACATGGCGGGCTACGATCAGCAAGACTTCAACAGGAGTGCGTTGACGCTCGATAGCAGACGGGTAATCGTAATCACTTTGCAATTTTCATTGCACGCAATAACGTTTAATCGGTCACGATGCATGTTGTTTGGTAATGCCAACGGTCTGCGTTTTTCGGCTGCACTCTTTTGCACTTTTTTCGTTGTTACAAAGTGGAAGTAGCATGCGGTCGAATTGAGAAGAAAAAAGAAGAAATAGGAAAATGTAGAAAGTGCAGTTAAAAAGAATAAATCTTATGTTTACTGAAAGAGTTGATAGAGTGAGTGACTTCTTTTCTTTTATATAGCTCGTATACGTGAGCCATTTGCGTATTAAAAATAAACAGCATATCAAAGATTTTATATTTTTTTATGTTTATAAATATCTTGATTTTCTAAAGTTGACTTTTTAAAAATATATCTTTAATTAGAGACTATTAATGACGTAACATTTTAATCTTTAATATTAAATATTTTTGTAAAAGTTAAATTTTAATCCAGAAACGAGATTTTTTTATAAACTCAAATTTATTTAACATTAAATTAAAAAAAATAAATTTTGTAATTTTCTACAATTAAATTTGTAAGAAACTGAAATTTGATGAGTACGTTATGGAAAATGATATTGAAACAAGTCGTCGGACATTTATTCTGTAAAAACTGATTTTTTTTAAGTAATTGTAATTTTTTACATATTCTTCATTTTCTTTATATTCTTTTATTATTACTCCTATATTTTTAATACTTTCATCTTATTTATAATGTCGACAATTCAGGCCTGGTACACCGGACAAAAAGCGGAAAAGATTCCTAATGGGCTGGTAGGAGTCGTTGGTCACGATTGTCTCGGCTTGGATCTCTCCTACAACGAATTGACCACTATTTCTGGCGTGAAAGATTTTGAGCAGCTTCAGGAATTGATTCTGGACAACAATAAACTCGACAATCTCAAAACACTACCGGATATCCCGACTTTGACCACTTTGAGTCTGAATAATAATAAGGTTCGCTTTTATTGAAGAAGAAAAAAAAAAGTAATAAAATTCTTATAAAAAACTGTTTTTAAAGGAATTTGTGAAAATTTATACAAAAGTTGCTAAAGATATTTTTTTCTCTAATTTTATTAATTTCTTTAACGCTATTTGTCATTAGACACTTGCACACAATTTTTTCACGCATATACAAACCAAATGATAAGCTTTTTCCTTTACAGATATCTAATATCGACCAAGCCCTCGATAGGATACGAGAATGCTGTCCCAACGTGGAGTACGTGAGTCTCCTGGGCAATCCCGGCTGTCCCGATCAGCTGACCAATCCGACGTCCACCGACGAAGACGATTACGAGCGTTACAGGCTATACGCCATCCACGCTTTACCTCCGAGTCTTCGCTTTCTGGACTCCCGAAGTGTCACTCAGCAGGAGAGATTGAATGCTAAGACTCGCGGCAAGTACTCCAAAACGATCAAGCTCGTCCCGGAATTGATTCGCAACTTCGCACCCAGTTCGACGCATGCCAGTAATGAGTTCGACGACATATATTTCAACATCCATTACACGCCCTTGCCGAGCTCGCCGCGCAATCCTCAGGATCACAGAGGTGCGTATGGCAAATGCAAGTATCGATACTCCGGCAAGAACTCGGAGGGCAACAGATTCATCTCGAACAACGATCTTTAAGCTGCATGTAGCGTGGCCTTATAATATCATTTTTCTAGTCAGGTAAGATTGATCTTAATGAAAAATTGTCAGTTAGATCTCGGCGTTAATAAAGTCTATCGCATGCGATATCGCACGATTAATATCGTATTATGTCATCGACACTATAATGATAAAGATATGCACAGAGATTTACATACTATAGACGTACATACCAACATTTATATCATGATAACAATTACATTTTGATATCAGCATTCTCAGCAACCATTGAATTTTAATATAAATTACAAAATTCAATTCGATTTAAAACGGCTGTCTATATAAGTGCATATCTCATGAAAAATAAATTTAAAAGCTTACGATATTCAATCAAATAAAACATAAAACATAAAAAATGTAAAACATGATTTTTGAAAACAAAATAAAAAGTGCAATATCGTACAAAGTAGAACTGCTTGATTAATTATATGATTGTAAAACACTATACAAAATAATTTTTTATCTGACGACGATTTATATCCATTTTCCTTATTTTTCTTAGGTAAATTTCGTCTTCCCATTGTTCAATATATGTATATCAGTTCTCTTTCTCGCAAGAGTGATTTTCTTCGATAAGTGTCCGATTTACGTTTATAACTTTTTATAGCCATTTATATTTCTACAATGAATAAATCATGTGAAATCTACGAGTAAACGTATAAAACTTTTATTATCATGTACACCGACGAGCGACATATAAATAAATGTCTGATTTCCTAAGTTTTAACATTACATTTTATAACATTACGTGCTAACTGGACTAACATACGTAGAGTAACTTGGAGGCTCTGTCGAGATAGAAAACGCAATGGGTTATCGTAATAAAATCCTCGATTCTCTATTGGTCCGTATATGCGTACGACATATAATTATCGCAACGACACTAAATTCAATATTTCAGGAATGTCGAAATCTTATACAACTATGTTTATCTCAGGATTTGTATTGGTTAATTTAAGACACATATATTAAACCCTACGAAGGATAGGTGAATTAAAAAGAATTCATTTTACTGAATTTACGAATTCAATAAATATACTCTGCCTACAAGGAGTTTGGCGCTTTACGGGTTTCTAAATTTTATCTTTTCTTATTTCTATATTTTCATTTTATTAAAATTTCTCTCTTAGGATGTAAATCAAATAAATCAATTTTCTTTTAAAACATTACCATCACATTACATCCAAATCGAACTTTTTAATTTGAATGTACTCGTTGACGGTGTATTAGGAAAAAAAGTTGGAGAATTTTCAAATAAATTTCTAATTTCGATGATCAATTGCACTTGAGAGAAACAAATTCTTTTTTAATTGAAATTTTTTAATTCATCTATCTTTAACCAGGGAGTTGACGCATTATACGAATCTCTACGTAACGTTAAAGGCAGTTTCACAGTTCCCTTTCGTTAACCCTGTTTTTAGGAAGAGAAACAGAGAGTCTTGGACATAATTACAACGGCTTACGATGTTATACTCACAAATAATCGAAGGTACAATAAATCAGTTAAGTACGAGTTTGTCAGTTCGGACCTTCGATTTATCCTTCGAACCCTCGAGAGTCGTCGAGGGTTCGACATTTATAACACGATTTAGCGGTGCATCTGGCGATAAATGCACGACTGACTGTATCGAATATTATATAGATATTGGATCAGAACAGTCCGCATTTAACGCTAAATGAACGACATAAAAACTGATCGCCGCTGAAACGCACACCGCGAATACGAGCCTTTTACGATCGTCCGGAAATTCCTGGAGGAAAAGCTTCTATAATTTTGGAAATATAATTATGAATACTGAGTTTTCCCCTTGGGAATTTCAGCACGGATTCGACGCTTGAATATATATGTATACGTATAAATATAACATCTACAAGAATGCGTTTTCGTTTAAGTTGCTCGAGGAAGCGGTCATATTTAAATCCCTTAAATACACCGTTCCTTCACTCGCTCGCTCGTTCGTTCGTTCACTCGGGAGACTCGCTCGTTTCTATTGTACACACTGGAAGCATCTTTCTCTCCAAGAAAGGAAAGTGTCCACAACGTTGTTCAGACGTTCCAAACGCTGATGAACTTTCGATCACGTTTCGTCCGATTCACTTGGTAATTGACGAAGAGAGAAGCGAATGAACGATGGAAGCGTATCCCTACTTTTATAAAAAGACCTGAGTTCTCCATCGCGTATGAATTATTATCACCGTTATATAATTTCTTATTTCTCGGTGAAGGTCCCATTGTGGGCTTGACAGTGCCCCCTACACGATATTGATCAAATTTTAAAATTGACAATCTCAAAATGTAAAAATATAACGTGGTCCCATCGTTCATTTGCTTTTTACAAAAAACTTCGTTCGTTCGTGATAATAAATGTAATACTACTACAATCTTTTAGTGATTATTGACTAACAGCACGCTTTTGTAAAATCTAAAAATGTTTGCACTACCATTTGTGCTATCAGATTAATTTTCGGACTTTTTTTTGGGTGAGGTAGAATTTCGTGAAATTACGAAATACTTCGTGATTCAACGTTTGGAACTCGGCGAGAGCTCATTCGCAATTTCTTTGTTATCGCGAAGAGCACACACATATATGTGTGCATGTGGATACTAATATCATCTTGCCAGTTGTCTTGGACGGACGCATTTTTGCTTTTCATCCCGTTTCGGGCGTTTCAAATACCTAACAATATTTTTTTTCAAGAATCATCGATGCTCTATAATATTGCACGAATTTAAATGACTTGCTCAACTTACATACCCATTTGAGGCTTTTTTCGCAATTAAAAGCGACAAGGAGGAATTACGAGGATTATACATAGAATTACACAAAGACGCAGCTTTAAAAAAGAATATACCTCGCTTTGCTATTACACAACTGCTGGAGTTATGACAATAAAAAAAATAATATTTTTTAGAATAATGGAGTAACATTGAAGTTAAGTAAGCTGTAATACAATTTTATCTCGAAAAATATCAAATTATTACAGCACGAATTCGCCATAACTTTTAATATTTGGCACGTCTATTATATTAATATTAGATATAAATTCCAGCTTTGCATGAAAGAATCTATGTTGAAAAATAAATTAACAAAAAATTAAAAAATCTAATAAACAATGCCTTCATAATCTATTTTTTAATAAGCAGAAATATTTTATTTATATCTTAAAATCATACTTTGAATAATATTTATATTTCCTTTTGAATGGATTTTTTACTTTTGCAAATATCATATGCTATCATCTTCTAAATCGTTAAATTTGATCATCACTAATAAACAAATAAAAAAATGATAAAAATAACTAAATTCTAATTTTCAACCAAATACTAATTATTATATTTTTGGAACAGCCAAAGCGAAGTAGCCAATAAGAATATAAAAGAATCTGTTTAAAAAAAAAAAAAAAACATAGAAGCATCTTGTGTTAATTTCTATTATTTCTAATGTGTTCATTAGGAAATTATGTTGGAAATTTTCATGTAGAAATTTTAAAACACAATTTATATGGAGATTAATGACGGACAACATAGAAATAAGAGTGGACAGGAAACTCAAAATAATTTAATGTGTATATAGGATATGAAGCTCAAGACCGATATTAATTGCATACTTCATCGGCTCCAGGCTAATAATCTGGCAAGCAATTTTCGCGGCTGACAGGAATTTCGCAGGAAATTTTTGCCTATGCCCATTCAAGAAGATCAGACGAGCTTACGTCGCTTCCAAAGGCACTGATTCTTTGTTCGCAAATATTTAAGATCACGTCCGTTGTAAGCGCGACGCTCTTAGATCTATGTACAATCGACTTGGACTAAATCGGCGTTTCCGAAACCGTTTCCTCTCTCGGAAACAAAAACTGGGAAGAGCGCGTGACATTTATCGCGCGTTGCTACTTTTAAGTACCGTTGTTCTTCCCGTGATTGTGCAAGTTCGGCCTTAACGTCACTGCGCCCTCGACCCAGAAATTCGGCCTCTCGAGCATGTTCTGCCAGAGAGACAATTCGCGACCGGTCGCGTCCATCCAGTCCACCGGTTTCCCATAATGCTTACCTGAAATGTAGATATTCGCGTTTGTATTATTGCCGAAAAACATAAGAAAATATTTTCACCAAAACTTTTAGAATGTAGCAAACTGTGCAAATCAGGGGAAACGACATTTTATTATTAATTGAATTTTCTCCGGCTAAATTTTATTTACCGTTATTATTTATGCCACTTGTGCATGACAAGATATTATATTAATAAATCCAATTTAATTATTAAAATAAAATAATCTAGATATACAGTTTAGAGTAATGTTTTATATACATTTTATATACGTACCGGTGCCGAGATTAAATCGAACACCGCCAAGGAATTCGTTGCTAGCAATTCGATCATGGTCCCACACCGTCAATTCTAATCCACGTTCCGCCAATTCTTGTAAACTAACGTCCTTGTAGATGAACGTGTGACCCCAAACTGGCGAACCGCCAGATCGACGAACGACACCGGTCTTCTGTTTACCGGATCGTCCCTTGTCGGGAAGCAAGTAACTGAAAGAAATTATACGGACGACGTAAGAATTTTTCAAATGCTAAAAACGCTAAATTTGCGATTTAAACAAAAAGCGATAAAACTACAATTTTTTTAAATTGTAATCATAAGTATACATATCATATGTTATTAAATTAGTATACAATATGGAAGAGTTAAAACATATTTTCGAGTTTAAAAAAACAAAAATTTCCACCTTTAGAAATTTTACTTGTTAAATCTTTATTGCGTCATATACAATAGAAATATTAATGTACAAAGTGGAGGGTATACCTTTTACAGAAAGGATCGCAGGTGCCCGAGTTTTTGCCGCGCGTCTGTAGATTTCTGGCCTCCTTGACGAGCACGTGGAGCGCGCCGCGGCTCCAGTTCTTTTTCGCTTTAGAACTGTTACGTTCTGCGCTGCTTTCCCGATCGCGTTCTTGCTGTGCCGGATCCGGCGGGACAAACTTCAGGCCAACAATCACTTCGCCTTTGTATGCGACCGGATCGTCGAATGGCTCCGTCTGTGAGCAATTATTATTACGTAAATGAGATTTCGACGAAATTATGTAAATCTAGGAATTTATCCTTTAAAGCGGTTCTCTGCATTGCTTGATATTCTATCGAAAAAGAGGTTTTAAATATCCTTCAAATGAGCAAAAAACGCGAAGTTTAGAAAGAGCTTTATCAAATTCTAGTTGATTCTACTAACTTAATTTCAATTTTCATTATCATCACACTAACTTACTCTTTCAATTATAAATTTAATTTAGTATATATTAAAATATTATATTATTCGGTATTCTGATATTCTGACATTGGTATCTTGATTTTAAAAACTAAAGAAACAAAAAAATTTATATATTCTATAATGTATTTGGCTATATTTAAGACACATACTTATTTATATAAGAATGAATACATTTTGCATTCGCATGCTCGTATTGGAACACGTCGAAAGCACTTTAATTAAGCAGCTTTGAAGTTGCGGCCTGCGTTTTCTATCGATGTTCGGAAAGAATGAATAACAACGTTTTCTGCTGAATGCACAGTGACGCAATCTGCTAAATGCACAATGATGCAACCCATCCGATGCACAATGAGCAGGGACTTACTTCACTCGGAAACAATCAACGATTCTAGCTTTAAAATTTCGAGACAACGCTTCTCAATTTCTCGCCGAAGGAAAGTCAGTGCCGTTATCGTCGCCAGTTTATTTTAATATTAATAAAATTAGCGGCAAACTTACCCTCTCTTGAAGGGGATACCAGTGTGGCGTCGGGTCGTCGAATATCTTGTT